ACCCTAAACCCTCAACCGCTAAACCCCTAAACCCTAAACCCCTAAACCCAAAACCCCTAAACCCTAAACCCAAAACCCCTAAACCCTAAACCCCTAAACCCTCAACCCCTGGACCCTAAACCCTAAACCCCCAAACCCTAAACCCCTAAACCCTAAACACCCAATGTTTGGGCTTACACGGAGAAGCCCGAGCCTCCTACGTAGTCAGGATCCCAACGCCAAACAGCTTGCACCTCCTTCTGACAAAAGCTCCACCCTGAAGGGTTTAGGGTAAACCCCACAGAGTTTAGGGTTTAGGCTAAACCCTATAGACTTTAGGGTGTAGGGTAAGCCCTACAGGGTTTAGGGTAAACCCTATAGGGTTTAGGGTTTAGGGTTACACGCAATGGGGTTTAGGGTTTAAGGTATACCCTATAGGGTTTATTTAGGGTTGAGGGTAAGCCCGATTCTGCCCTACGCTAGTATGAGACGGACGCTTGACCGAGCACGTCACCTGCTCCATGCTTGTTTAGGGTTTAGGGTTTAGGGTTTCTTTGCAAGCCACTCTGCCTCACCCAGAGGGTCCATAAACACTACCATGATGGAATTAGGTCCCAAAAGACCATCCCTACTATGGTTTTGGGGACCTAATTCCATAATAGTAGTATATATGGACCCTCTTGGTCATGTCCATTTTGCCGGCCTCATGGTGACTCGAGGCGGATGTATGAACCCCGAGCCATCAGCCGCAAGAATAGCGCAGCAGAGCAGCAAGAGCAGCCGGAGGATGAGCATGAGCATTGAGGAATAGGGTTTAGGGTTTAGGGTCCCTTTTTAGGTACCCCATTATAGTACGGCACCCTTATAAAAGGACCCCAAAAGGGACCCTAATTTAGAAAACTACCCATAAAGTTGCAGCCACCGGCGACAACCATTGGTGATGATACTAGCAGCAAGCCTCGTTTCTTGCTTGCCTTCTGCTTCATGTGCTACTCCCCACCAAGATGACCACACATGCCCAAACATGCAAGTCATGAACTCAACAGCTGGCAAACCAAAGAAAACAGCCTGTAAAAACCCTGAAACCCTAAACCCTAAACCCAATGACAACTGTCACTCCCTGGCTTTCGGACGGTCGGGTCGAGCGTCACCAGTTCCGTGGGACCGGTGATTAAGGCACTCGCAGAACCGGCAGCAGAGCCTGCGACGAAGGTCTGCCTGGGCAACTCTTAGGGTTTAGGGTTTAGGGGTTTAGGGGTTTGGGGGTAGGGGTTTAGGGGTTTAGGGTTTAGGGTTTAGGGGTTTAGGGGTTTAGGGGTTTAGGCTTAAGACTTCGGAAAAAAGCCAGAATCAGAACCCTGCTTGTCGGGACGTGGGGGGGGGCAGGGCGGGGGAGGAATGGAAACGCCAGAAGACCAGATATCGCCACCGTACTGGGGAACCCAAAACCCTGCCTTCAACCTTGGAGCCCTTTCCTTAAACCCTAAACCCTAAACCCTAAACCCTAAACCCTAAGAACAGAGCTTGGTCGCAGGTTTTGGGTTCCTTGATTCATAGTGTCCCCGTACGATCCCTGCAGAATCAGACGCTTGTGCATAGCCAAGTAGGGTTTAGGGTTTAGGGTTTAGGGTTTAGGGTAGCCCTTGTTCGAATCGCCCAAAAAAGCCCCAAAACATGTGCACTACCCGCATAAGAGCACTTTCAGGCGGAGTCTGATTGAAAAACTACACAGACGCCATGGACAAGTACAAAGGCCACCATGTTAGGGCTAAGTATAGGAGCCGTTATCATTGGAATAGGGCCTTGGGCGAGTCTTATTTGAACCCTAACGACGACTAATACCATGTTACGTTAAATCCTCACCTCAAGGCATAGGCCCACCTACTCTGGGTGGGCGGCGCTTATGCCCCTCACAGTCGATAGGGGCCTCCAGTGGGCGGGGGCGGCGGGCGATGTGTCTTGTACTGGATGCGACAGCTGACGAGCGCACAATTTGCACGAAGGAAAGCACGTTTCGGCACGAGTGCAGCGCTAAATCCTCATAGGAAAGAGTTGGGTGGTTGGGCCGCCTTATACAGCGTTGGGCGGGAGAGAGAGAGGCAAAGACCTTCCACAAACAGTCTTTTAAACTTTCAAACTAAACACCATAGTACGATGCACTCGACACTATATACCTTGTCGCAAGATACCGTCGCCTGCAGCCGCCTGAAAGTCTTATATAAGGAAATCATAGTAAAAAGCTAGGTCAGCTGAATCCTTATGAGAGATGCAAACGTTCGGGAAGCCTCAGATAGCTTCGAAAAGCGTCTCTTCTCCCGGCGCCGAGATATAATATCGGGTTGAGGGATGCATTCTAGTGTGTACAGAGACATGTATATATATATATATACACATACTGATGGAAAGACCAAGCATAATTGCTCAAGTATCTATATTAAGCCCCCAAATTCAAAGCGCCAAAATCTCCAACACCCGGACGATCTGCAGGCCGTAGCTGCGCCAGTGAAAGACTTGCTCCATCCTCTGCTGAAGGGTCGCGCAACTGCCTGGGGTTCAAGGTTTGACGTGGGGAAGCAGTGATTCATATCAGAAGCACCATTATAACTTAATACTATAGCCGCTAGCCTTCTAGCTCCACTCGTCCCGTCCAGTGAGAATGTGCCTTTGTAGGCGCTAGGCTGCGCCAAGTTTGAGGTAATTTGGGTGTAGGGCGGATCAAGTTTAGCTGTCTTTTTTGCCACGTGACGGCTGCCAAGTATGTCGACGTGGCGATGTAAGACTACCAGATGTGTATTCTACAAGCGTAAACGTTAAGCCGCAATCAGCGCTGAAACTTGAAATGATACGTGGCCTAACGTTACAACACCGGACCTGTTAACAAGATCCCCAGTGCAAACATAGCGAAACACTATGAAACCATGACTGGTGACATGATGGCCTGCCGGATGGCCTTCATATCCCCATCAGCCCTAGATGTCCTAAATCTTCACGGCCCTCGAAAGATCCGGACTGGGTTCGTGTTCACAAATGTGTCCGAGTTACCATAATGGGCGAAGCAGCTTCTCATTCACTATATCCCTGTTCTGGTATTTTAAGTTAGGCTGCTTAACCCAAAGTCATGAGCCCCTTCCAACACCCCTACACAAGCCCCAGGTTCCCTAAACCCTAAACCCTAAACCCTAAACCCTAAGCCCTGACCCAATACCAAGAACTCTGAAGTGCAAAGAAACTTACTTGGAGGCCCGGGGGACTTAGTAAGTAGGTTATAAGTGGACTTATAAGTACCCTAAATAGAGTTACCTCAATTATAACCCTATTTATAACTGACTTACTAAGTCCCCCGGGCCTCCCAGTAGGGGGAGCTCGATAGAAACACTCAAACGCACCCGGAGAGAGAAACAACGCTTTATGACATTATACCGACCAAGAGGGGCCCTGTTGCAACTGGCCTGCAATGTCACGCCAGGACACCAAAGGGTGCCTAAACCCCAAAACCCTAATCCCTCAACCAAGCTTTGGAGGCCCTGATTAGATTCACCGGAGCTTTGCAGTCGAACCCCAGTTTAGGACTTGGGGTTTGGGGCTTTCGGATTTAAGTTGCCATGACAAGGAAACCCTAATTTATTATGTTAACTTAGTTTGAGGTTCCTTTAAGCTACCTACTACTATAGGGATCTACCTTTGGATTTTGGGGTGGTCTTTTGATGTTAGGAAAGCTCTGAAACGGAGCTACTTGCTGGCGAGCTCGTAGGAAAAGAAGAGCACCGCATTCCTGAGGAGTTGAGGCCTTTGGGGCTTTGTGGGTTCAGGGTTTAGGGCTAAGGGTTCAGGGTTTAGGGCTTAGGGTTTCAGGGCTACAGTAGGTGCTTCAGAGGTCTTGAAGTGTAATGTAGGGGCCTTAATAATTTAGAATACGGTTTGGGTGTATATTATACTATACAGTAATTATGCTGAGGAACCCCCAAAAGAGTATAGGCATTCTTGAGACCCCCCAGATTAGGAGTTTAGGGGTTTACAGTGTCAGGGCCTTACCCTAAACCCTACAGGCCCCTCTAACACTAAACCATAAAACCCTTACAGCTAGACCGGGGCCTGGCTCTAAAATACATAGCACAAGGGGCATTTAGAGGACGTTCGTATTAAGTCTTCAGAACTCTAAACCCTAAACCCTAAACCAGAAGGTTGGATAAAAAACGGTCTGCAGAGATGCTGAAGACCTCAGAGCTGGAGGGCAAACCCTAGACCCTCAACCCTTAAGGGCGTTGGTGCAAGGCGAGTATAGAGAGGCCTGAAACAATTAGAATAGGGTTTTGGGGTACATTATACTTTACGTATAACAAGGAACCCCGGACCGGCTTCGGAAGTCGGAGTCTTGAAAACACGGCAGGAACAAGACAAGAGAGTCTATCTGAACTCCCAGTTCCTGCATGACTATACACTACCACTACTACTACTACTACTACTACTACAATCATTGTTATGTTCTTCTTCTTATTATTATACAGGTTCTTTCTTTATAGTTACACTATGCTATTACTAGGGTTTGGGATTTAGGGTTTGGTGTGACGGCTCTCGTGTAAAATCAAGTCTTCCAAGGCCTGGGGTCCGGAAGCCCACCAGGACAAACCCTAAACCCTAAACCTCTAAACCCCTTAAACCCTAGGCCGGAAACCCCTTTTTGCATCAGGACTTGTGCAATCGCCTGAACATTGACTTCCACAATGCAAAGAGTTAGTAAAACTGTACAATCATAAAATTACGGCCCCTAAACCCTTAATCCCCTAAACCTCAGACCTGTTGAAGAACGTTCCGGTGAGGGCCAAAGGTTTGGGGCTTTAAGGCTTAGGGTTTGCGGTTTAGCGGCTCGGTTTGGGTTTTATGGCTTAGGGTTGGGGTTTTGGTTTTATGACTTAGGGTTTGGGGCTTAGGGGTGGGGGTTTCGACTCACACACTTGCAAAAGCAGGCACGGCGATAAGTGTCCGAGCTTGCTACTTGAACATACCGATTTGGGGGTTTACGGTTTAGGGTTTTGAGTTGCCGCTCTACGAGTTTACCGTTCAAGGCCATTACAACACATGCTGCCAGTGCATTGGCACACTTGCTTCTACTAGCTGTGCAAAAGATGATGGTCCTCTACCAATATGTTTGGATACTGTCGTTGTGATTGTTGTTCTTCTTTCCGTTTGAGGTGTTATACTCCAGGATCTAAAGAGGTTCAGGCTGGCTGGGGCCTGATTTTGATTAATGTCGTTGGGGTATCTTGATTGCAGTAAGTCGAAGCTCTTCTTAGCTGACCTTGGCTGAACTGCCTCAGACACGAACCCTCCTTTGAAAGAGCCCATGCAACTGAATCTCCCCGAGCATCATCACGCCAACCGTCAGCGTCGGGGAGGCCCAGCCCTTGTAGAGGCCTCGAACACCTTTCAGCCAATGTCGGGTTTAGGGTTTAGGGTTTAGGCATCAATCGTTTAGGGTTTAGGGTTTAAGGTTTTGACCAAGATCAAACATACATACAGATTGAAGCTTGAAGAAAGATGCAAGCTGCCAATGCTTCGTTCCGATTGCATGAAACCGGTACCGGTAGCCCTCCCTCCCACCTTCCTCCCGCAGTGTGGATCGCGCGCAGTCGACGAGCCCATTGTAGGGTTTTCTGCCCAAACCGCTCGGAGTGCTTTGTAGCCGTATACCTCGGGTTTAGGGTTTAGGCTGGGGTTGATCAGTCAACAGGTAAGATGCACGAGAGGGGACATGCTAAAGCTAAGGCATGGCAGTGGCGGATACTTCGTGGTAAAGCAGATTTAGCCTAACAAGAACCACCACCACTACTGGCTTAATGTTACAAGAAAAATCACTCTCTTCTAGTGGCTCTGCTCTGCTGTTGTATTATGCGCCTTTGGAACCCTTTTTGTGAACCCAGATTCTGCCAATCAGCTAGGGAGCAGCACTTCCAGACTCTTGCATCCGGGAAGTAGCGCCTTTGGAGCCCTAAACCCTAAACCTTAAATCCACCAAGGTGCGAATGGTGTCGAGAGGCTGCGTGGCTAAGATCCCAACTGCGCCGGCCTCATACTTCGGAGAACTGCGAAGTTTTGAAGGTTTTTGAGGGTTTCAAAACCTTAAGCCCTAAACCCTAAAGCCGTTTTGGAGGGTTTTGAAACCATAAGCCCTAAACCCTAAAGCTGTTCTTGAGGGTTTTAAAACCCTAAGCCCTAAACCCTAAAAGCCGTTCTTAAGGGTTTTGGCAACTTGGGGTTTTAGGGTTTGGGGAGGTTTGGGGTCTACCCAAAGACCCCAAAATTCCTTCATTAAGGAACATATTCCTTCAATTATAGTAGGATCCTTAATTATAGTAGGATCCTTAATATGATTTAAGGTACATTCCTTAATTACGGGATATTGGAATCTCTGGGTAGGGCCCGGGGCCCAGGGTCTCTAGAGTAAGTGTAGATTTTTGTTGGTTTTGGTCTGTGCAGCTTCGGGTTTTTATACTGGTAGGAAAGGTTACTGGAAGTCTTGAGCTCGGGAGCTTTTTTTTACGTCTCGCATGGCAAAGAACTGTGCTCAAAGGCGAGGTTGACTAGTACATCACTGTTGCAATTCGCCATCGGGAGGTTTAGGGTTTCGGGTTTTGGGGATTTGGAGGTTTAGGCTACTGAGTTTGGCATGTGGTGACTACATGGCGCATGCTTCAGGGCACCGTATCGGGACTATGAGGGAGCCACAAAAATAGTATAAGGAAAGTATACAGCAGTATAATTAGGGGCCTTAACAATTAGAATAGGTTTTCTGGTATCTTACATGATTAGAGTAGAATTGTAATAAGGAGCCCCCGAAATAATATAGGCAATTATTCAGGCCCCTATATGACCCAGAGGTGTACCTTCGGGCAATCGCGCCATACGAGAAACCGGGCATCCCCCTCTAGTAAGTCGGCTATAAATAGGGTTATAGTTGGGGTAACTCCACGTAGGGTACTTATAACTCTACTTATAACCTACTTACTAAGTCCCCCGGGCCTCCAAGTAAGCGCCCTTAGGCCCAACATAAAAGCACTTTGTTCAACAATCCCTAGGGGTGTTCTGTTCTAAAACATACTTCCAAAGAGCACCGAAGCATACAGCACAGTCGCACCGCCTGACGCAGCACAGAACCGCGAACTTCGCAGAAGAATCGAACCAACAAAGTCTTCTGACGTCTGTGATAGGCCTTGAGATGATCATCTTTAACCAGTTTCCTGAGTAGCCCCTTTACAAATGAGGGCACCCTTTGTTCCTACTATTCGGTTTTAATAAATAGACCCTCACATTAAAAGAGCAAAAAGGGCAATACTGGGGAACCTTATGAATCGATGGCAAGATGCGATAAGGCAGTCTGCTGTCCCCAAGCTTCATCGGTCTACAAGCCCGATTCAGTCACCCAGCACTCCTAATTACGGTTTAGGGTTTAGGGTTTAGGGTTTACACTAGTTGTCGATTTCAACAGCCCGCAAACAAAATTATTTACCGTCAGAGTTCTCTAACGATACAGGGAAACTAACAATTTTTCCAAAATCATTACATAAACTACTCAGACACAGACGGTGAGCCCGAAGCCATCACAAAGCCCACTCCCCTAAACCCTAAACCCTAAAGCCCACTCTGTTGAAATCAGGGGGCCAAACCGCCAGCGAGCAGCTCTGTGAACACCGACATGGCTCCCAAAGGAGCTGAGGGCAAGTTGCTGTAGGGGCCTTAAAAATTAGAATAGGTTTTCCGGGGCTTCTTATTATAATTAGAGTATAATACACCCAAAACTGATTATGGTATAATTATATACCCAAATAAAGTTAATTATAGTGTAATATACCCCAAAAACCTATTCGAATTCTTAAGTCCCCTATATTACTGTGGTGTCTCCTTCATCCTATCAGCCCCTGCTGTTGAGAACTCCAAACCGCTCTGGTTTTACCCGTTGCAACGGTTAAGTTTTAGGGTTTAGGGTTTAGGGTTTAGGGTTTAGGGTTTAGGGTTTAGGGTTTAGGGTTTAGGGCTTAGGGCTTAGGGCTTTAGGGCTTAGGGCTGAGGGTCCCCGAGCGAGCGTGCTTCTTGCCCCTTTGGGTTGATTGGGGCTTTGCCACAACGCAGGCCAACATGGGCTTCCTTCCAAAGAAGTAAAGGCCCGCTAAGATGGAATCGGTAGAAGCCCTCAAACCCCAAACTTACCCTAAACCCTAAACCCTGAACCCTAAACCGTAAATCCGTAAACCCTAAGCCTTAGAAGCTTCTCTCCGTGAACTGTCATGCACTTCAGTGCATGGCCCAAGGTTTGCCAAAGGTCCGAGCCGATCCAGGCTGTAGTTGAGCAAGGTATTCGGGAGTTTCCGGAGGATAGGTTAATGGTTCGTACACTCGCACATCTAGTCGAGTGCTACGGCTACTTTCCACCGTCGTCTGCATTGTCCTTGTCTTTGTTCTCCTCTGTCTCATCGAGATCGCCACCGTAATCACAAGCACAATCAATATCATCATGTTGACGGAATGCTGGTTGGCATGAGTCATGCGCAACATCTCCAAACATCCGTGCTGCAGAACCTACGTATTCCAGGAGGGACTGGGCTGGAAGTTTCACAAAATTTGTGTCAGCTGTACGAGACACCAGCAAACAGACGCAGTATGGACCAGCCTGGGAAAGAAAATTCCAGCTTCCTAAACCCATCTTATGCAGGTCTTCTCAGTGTCGGGTCACAGTTTAGGATGTAGAATTTCGAAGGTTTTAGTGAATATGCAGAGTTTCTATAAGGCTCTCAGGTCTTCTAAGGCTAGAAGGGTTCTAGACTTTCGGGTTTAGGGTTTAGGGTTTAGGGTTTAGGGTTACTTTCGGGTGTTTCAAGCTTTGATGGCTCGGGACGTTATGGCGTACACGAGACTTCCGAATACGTATGAGACACATACAACAGTGACATAGGCACCGAGCACTTTCTCCACTGGGCTGGGACCTCTTCGCTGGTTGCCAGCAGTGCTCCGCCTGGCTTCCACCTGCTCGTTTCAAGGACTCCGCAAGTCCCTCTGTAAGTATATTTTATTGGGGGCTCATGGGCGCTCGATGTAAATGTAAATATAGTTGCGAAATCCCTGCTGATTATAACTATAACCCGACTTACTTATCCCCTGATCCTTCAAGTAGTGGAAAGCATAGTATGGTATCAGCCTCCACTTCGCATTTTCGACTGGGCAGGCAAGGCTTGCGAAACGGGTCAGCACAAGACTGCCGCATCATGCAGCATCTGAGCTGTGCCCAAAACCGAAACCAACCACCATATATGTTCAATCGCACCAGACGATTTGTTCTTTACCACGGGTGTCGCAAAGTCGCACGCGACCTGAAGCTGAGGCACCATCGATCACGTCAGTTCACTTATACGAAGCTCCGTATCGTTCAGCGAAAAGACTTGCGAGGCATTTACAAAACGCGGATTGTCCAGAATGAAGCCTCCGTCGATGTTGGCGACCTTGCCTTGAGGAGAATTGTGAAAGCAACGCTCTTCCGGCTCTGCCCTGAGCTGGGCCCAAGCCTCTGGCCCAGGAGGCGGCAGCATCACAGGGCGCCCGGACAGCTCACGCAGGATGCCCGCTCGCCTCAGGCACCCGGATCCCCTCCAACGGTGGTAGTGGACCGTGATCCAGTGCCTGAACGTGCGCAACATGTAGTCGTCAATAAAATCCGCGTGGGTCCCAAGAACAATTCGATAGACCTTCCGGTCAAGAACGTCCAGCACCTCTGGATTCTTCAGCAGCTGCTGCTCATCCGATTGAATGTCGATGTGCAAAAGATCCAGATGGTCTATTGAAGACGCGAGCCGAAGAAAGAGAGCAGCATCAGCCTTGGTGCACAACACACGTCCATGCATACCATTGAGCTTCAGCACTCTGTGCGCGCCGGCGCACTCCACTCGCCCTGGCTCCACAGCAAATAGCTGGTATGGCAGAGGATTCCGAAGACGGAGCAAGGCAATGGCCCTTGTGGCCCAAGGTGCCCAACGGGCCCCAAGCTCCATGATGTTGAATGAGATGCGTGCCCGCAGGGCGGACTGGTAGACTGCGACCATCTCACTGTATTCCTCATCGACCACGGGCAGATGCAGATGCACATGCGAAAAGCCAGACTTTAGAAATGCTTCGTGTTCATGGCAAGCGTGCCATCGGCTGGGTAAGCTGTGGTAGTAGCGATATGTGCCATAGGGGCACCGAGATAGGCCACGGACCGTCGGGCCCCACTGGCTGACGTTGCACAGATTCTCGCAGTCAAAGTGCACAGGCACCCTCAGACCGTTCAGCTCGGTAAGGATGCCGCTCTCCACCAAATATGGTCCTACAACTGCCTGTCGCATGACCGGATGGTGAGGGAAGCTCCTGCCGTCTATGGGATTGAAAGCATGCTCCGTCTGGCCCGCACACGCCCTGAGCAGCCAAATCCAGAAAGTGACATGCCATGGCATCCTCCAGCTCCGGCGAGTTCCGAAGGAGTTTCTGATAACAAGTCTAGGGTTTGGGGCTTAGGGGTTTCGGGGTTCAGGGGTTTAGGGCTTAGGGCTTAGGGAAGCTCTTTAACGACACTGTATGTTCTCTGCGCTTTCGCCAGTGCAAGATGCAGACCGTGTGGGATACTTCCCAACCGCACAGTTCTAGAGTACTACATGATGTTGTAGGTTCATGATGGTTAAGATGAAAGCTTTGGTTGTTATTTGCAACCAGCGGCTTATGCACTGCTTTATTTACCAGATTTTGCCATCACCACTATAAGTGTGACTGAATATCGCTATAGCTGTGCACTGCGAGAGTGCTGTTCCTCTTGCGTTCTTGTGCAAGACTTCCTTCGGCCTTGAGTTGCACGGGATCTAAGAGCGATCGCAGGAAAAGGAGGGTCTATTTAGAGCTTTCAATCGGCCTTGTGTCTGAGGGGATCTGGGGAGTTTTGGGCTTCAGGCTCTCAGGTTCGAGGATTGAGGTTCCTACCAGAAGGGAGCAGAATCCAAGAATCGCTCCGACAAAATGTCAGGTTTCCCAAAGGCGCCACCTGAATTTAGGGTTTAGGGTTCGATAAACCCTAGGCCCTGAAAGTGCGGCGGTCAGAGCTCAACACGGAAGAGACAAAGGGTCGTCAAACCCAAACCCTCATGCTATGTCAGGATTAGGCATTAAGTGCAGTTTTAGTAGGGACACGGTATGACTAATGATTCTTAAGGCTGGCATTCTCGGGATGGTGACTACGTAGTGTAAGGCCCTCAGCCCAGCCTTTGCCGCCTGCACCGGCTCCTTCACCAGCTTCCGCCGAAGCCTTTGTGCTTGAAGGTGGAAACTTTCGGATGTGTGGGCCTTGATAACTAGCATCGGGATTTAGGATGTGCGGATCAAAAAACCATGTTAACGAACCCTCCGGAGCAGCGTTGAAGCTCGTATTTTTCATCATTTTTGAAAGGTCTCTATGGCTCTGTGAGTCGAATCTCATGAGGATTCCATGTGTAAACGACACCAGCATCCCAGCGAGACCCGTCATTTTCTCGCCTGAAGAACCAGCAACACGGCACTTTTTAACAAGTTAATGCTTTTAACCCCATGATCTTCAGAAGCGTTGCAAACCCAAAACACCCTACACACTCTAAATCCCTTCTATCATACTCTAACCCCTTACCGAAAAGCCCTGAGCCCATAGGATTGTAAGCTTGCAGCCCGACTAGACTCCACCCACAGTTTGACACATATCCCAGAATCCCCCGAACAGCCTAATCCCACTAATGAAGAAAGAAGTACAGGATCAGAGACACATGCGTTTTCGTAGGGACAAATGGTTCTCAAATGGCTGCCACAGGAGCAATGAAGTGAAGTAGGCCCCAGGCTTCTCCACAACGTCTGCCTCAGTCAATTTCCCTAAACCCTTTTGGCTGCAGGCTTGCAAGCAAGAACGCCTGGTAGTTAGCCAGTCGTCCGCCAGCTAACACTGTACTCGTGACAGTGCTTCCAGCAAACCCTAAAACCTAAACCAAAAGGAGGCTATAAAACCAAAACCAAAAGGAGGCTATAAAACCTAAACCAAAACGAGGCTATAAAACCTAAACCAAAACGAGGCTATAAAACCTAAACCAAAACGAGGCTATAAAACCTAAACCAAAACGAGGCTTTGGGGATCCAAGTCTTGGGTCCAGGTTTGAACCCTAAACCCACGGGTGGCCCATGGCGCCTTGGCCCGCAGCGCGCGCAGGCATCGGCGAGCGTGGTCCGCCTGCGTGCGCTCCAGCAGCCTCCCAAAAGAGCTTTTAACTATCTTTGTTACATGTATGCATACATATATATATATTAGCATATATATATATATATGTCTATAGTATAGTACAGTAGAGTACAGTACAGTGCACTGTCTTATGGGGTGCTAGGCTTTTTTCTGTAGTGCTTTAAGGTTTGTGGTTCCAGGGTTGAGGAAATAGGAGTTTCAGCTCAAGACAAGAGAGTCTTGTAGGATTCGAAGGGGCCTATAAAAAGATCTTCTGGGGCTCAAGGATGCTTTTGCTTTCAGGTTTAGGGTTCTAGAATCAGGGTTTCGGGGGTTTTTGGAGCTACATGTGGGTTCTGTAGGGTGTCTATGAGAAGCTCTCAGAGGGCATCATCGATTATATCGGTGGTCTCTCTGGCAATGATACAGGGTTTGGGGCTTGAGGCTT